ATCATTATCAATAAACAAATTTGGAAGCGTGCGAAATTGAAACAATTCCTCTCACTGTTTTTAATTGTATCATGGTAGGGAAGGTTGACAGGAAGATCAAATGTTATTGGATGAGCTGGATAGAGTAGTTGCTTGTTCAGGTAAATAATAAAGTAAAATCTCTTTATTAATTTTAATTAATTGTCATTATCTTCCGTCAACCCTTTTGTCTTTACTTACCAAATCATATGATTAGTTCATCAGCACCCGAACTTGCCGCATTCAAGCCAGCATCCTCATTTCTCTAAAGCAACAAATGTCAAGCATGTGGTCGAGGAAGATAGGCTACGAATGTTTGAGAAGAGAAAGTTCGACTTCCTAATAATCAGTAAATTATTATACTATTCCGATCTTTAATATAAGACCTAATTATTAAATTAATTTTAATCCTAAATATAAGACATATTTCTCATATTTATCATTTTTTCCTAAATTACCTCCATAGATACTCCCTCAACTATAATCAAGTAGAAGAGGGAGAGACGATATTAAGAAAGATGATTATGGTGTTTTAGAAAAACATGTTACATTTTTTATAATTAACTAACTTATATAACTTCCTTATTCTAATCAAATTAGTTAAATAGGTCTTATATTAAGAACCGGAAGAGTATATAATATAACAAGTGAAAATTATATAGCTCATATATGCTTTGGCTTGTTTATATACTGCTCCCGATGCTTAATATGAGAGCTAATTTATTAACTTATGAATATAAAAAATATTAGTTAAATTAATTATTTGTAATAAATAAGTATTATCTTTCCTAAATATGTTTTTAATATAAGAGCTAGATAACCAATTTGCGGATATCAAAAAAATTAGTTATGTTAATTATTTCTAATAAATAAATTATTGTCTTTTCAAAAATAGTCTTTTTAATCATGTATATTAGAACTGCCCTTTGATGGACATATGCAATCAAAAAGACGACTTTAGAAAAAATAGATAAATATGAAAAACAAAATAAATTTAGAGTTCTTATACTTATATTTATGGTCAAATTAAATTTTTAATTAATTCTTATATTAAAGACTAGAAATAGTAGTCACAAAGGATTTAAGATTAAAAGATACATAAAAAAGAATATCTAGTTATTTGAATTCAATTCTCTGTGTAATCATTTTAACTCAAGTTTTATACATAGGGAAATTAAAATAGCTATTAGAATAGTATTTTATTTAACTAATCTATTCCATTTGATTCAAATTAAATTAATTTGAGATTATTACAGTTTTCAGAATTTGAAAGAGGAGAAAACGAGGGAGGAAAGGATAGAGGCATGCCTCTTTTTTCTATTTATTGTATTATGACTAAATGTGTGGCTCTTATACTGCATAAATACCAAATGTGTGGCTCTTATACTGCATAAATTTAAAATGCCGAGGAATGCACGTCTTAGTCAACTTGACCGCTTCCACAAAAATAAGACAAAAAGAAGGTCCCATTCTTACTTACCCTTTGACAATACATTTTTTTTTCCATAAAAATAAAATAGTTTCCACTAACTTTATTTTAATCTAGAAGCACGGGTTATATGAGAATATTCTTATTTTTGAAAAAAAAATAATCCAAATACATATAATAATTTTTTTTAAAAAATCATTTCAATAAATAGTAATGAACAATTTGATTTTATTTTAATGTCATGTAAATGAATAGAGTAATAATTTTGTTCTTGTAAAGTATCTTGATTTAATGGATTTATTCTTGATTTTTTTAATAGTCTAAGACACCCAATGCTATGGTTTTTGAATTAATTAGACACTTTCCATACTAGTACATATTGATTTTTTTTGGTTAACTTGTAACATCTGTGGCTTTTGTTTGTTCCTCTCATTACAGAATTTATAAGATTCTTTTATCACATTGTGATGTTTCACATCGTTGAACAGAACCATTTGAAAACTTTTCTTTTTTTTTTTTGGTTGCCAAAACCAATATAGATGAATATTCTAAGCTCGACTCACCAGTTTTCCATGATGAAAATATAAATGGGTTAATACAATATTTCATCACTAAGTTTGTATTCATTTTAATTTTGATCTCTCAAATTTCAAATTATTGGTTTTGATTCCTCAAAGAACAAAATGATTCAAATTTTTATTAAGTTATAAGGACCAATATTTTAGATGAAAAGAAACTTGATAGACTAAAACTTATTATTTAAAATTCAAAACACTAAAACCAAAATAAAAGCAAATTTAAAAGACCAAAAATTGTATTAACTATTAACACAAGGTGTTCATGGGACGGAACGGGACGGGACAGGGACACATCCCAATAGCATCCCGTCCCATCTCTTTTTTTAGATTTTTTTATTTTTTAATTTGAAAACTAATTATATAAGAAGTGTAAAAAACTTATAATTAAAACTACGTGAGGAAAATAGGTAAAAATAAGAAAACAATGACAAAAAAAATGTTTTTTGTAATCATAACAGACAAAAAATAAACAAACTTAAAGTATTCACTACAAAAAATGTCATATAACCCATACAAAAACAACTTATGAACAAATAAAAAATAACAATTGATAAATATTATTACCAAAATACTATTACAATAATAAATAAAATAAATATATAACAACTAAAAATAAAGATAATATATTGAGACAGGATTAGAACGGGACACTCGTGTCCGGCGTCCTGCATCCAGTCCCATCCAGAAATAATTTTGTTTCTTCTCGCTTTCGTCCCGTCCCAAAAATTTTAGAGAAAAGATGGTCCCGTCCCAAAATGACTAGGACAGAGATGGGGGACACAATTGAGCACCATTACTATTAACCCTATATAAATAGTCCTAATTATTAATACATATTCTTTTTGAGCCAAAGATTTAAAAAAAAAAAAGAAAAAAAAAAAAAGGAAAACTGTCATCTACCCTAAGGAGACCGAAAAGGAGGCTAGAACATCTTCTAATAACTGAGATTTACTATCTGATAATTACCAACCACTTAAATGTTTACACGAAATTCAAAGATTTCTACAAGGAGAATGTTTAAAAGTCCAAACGTTATATACTTTTTTACAATATAATATATAATGATTATTATATGTATAACACCCTATCAAGAAATTGAATAATTTTTTAATATAACAATTATGTAATCATTTGTTTAATGATTATCAGTTACCAAAAATAATTCACTGATTTTGATGAGTATACATAGACAATAAAAATATCATCATTGATTGATTATGCTGGAATCTCCGGTGAAATATATAAAATAGTTAGGTCAAGATTTAAATTAAATAATACTATAATAAGCGCATGATTTTTGAATCTTACCTTCTTTTTTTGACCATCTTTGAATCTTACCTTTCTCAGTTTGATTTTGCAGCCAGTTCCTTTTTATTTATTCCCAATTAAAAATAAAAGAAAGTGGTGTGTTTGGACATACCTAAAGTGGAGGCCTTTTTCATGCGAGAAGCCGCCCATTATTTGTTATTATATGCTTTTTTAATTATAATAGTCTGATTTAGTACACATTATAGATAGTTTTAAACAGCTTAAAATTAACTTTTTAATCATAATTTACAAAATACGAGATAAGTATATAAAAAAATTTTACATCGAGTTATGTGAAACGTGTTTATAGGTAATTTTTCACACCATGCCAAACAGAGTCCGTATATCTTGGACAAAGAATTATCAATTATCCAACATGATAGTGCTATATTTTTTTTATTTATATTCATCACCTTAACCTTATTTACGATATAAGATGTTAGATGCATTAAAAATAATATTAAAATGTTGAAAGCATCAAAAGTATCAAATAAAAAGATAAAAAAACTAAAAAGTACCTAAAAAATAAAATTAGAATATTAGATGGTAGTGTTTTCTTACATCTTTAAACAAATTCACGTAGAAGCTACTTTGCTTCATAGAGTAGTCTTCATAAGTATGCAGACATAAAATAGATTATTTTAACAAACTAGCTTGAATTATTTGTGCAATCATGAAATTTGTCATTATTTAATCCAAAAAAACCATTTAAATTGGTCTTGGAGGCTCGTCAAAATTAGAAGAGACCTAAAGTGCAAGATTGAAAAGGATATTATTTGAAAATAAATGACTAAATCTCAAACAAATCATATATCTTCTAAATATCTCAAGATATACTATGTTAAAGAAATCACTTGAAAAAAGTTTGTGTGAATCATGTTTTGAAAATAGAATGTTTGAAGGGAAAAGGATATAGGCTTCCTTTTTTTTTTTTTTTTTTGCCAACGGAAGGATATAGGCTTCCTAAAGATTAATCATGCTATGGATTTGTGAGTGACATGTTTTCTAGTTGTAATGCAATACTCCCTCCGTTTCTTATTAAAAGAGGCATTTGATATTTATAACATATTCCTATACATAAGAGATACTTAAAAGTTATCTCTACTTTTTGTGTTGATTTCCTATTTTACCCATATTTATTGTCTCCAACTCACACTCTCTCCCCCTCCCACTTCTCTTTCTTTTAATAATTTAATTGTTCTCTATCATGCTCTCTCTCCTTATTAATGAGGGTATTTTTGAAAAAAAATTATAATTTTTATACATTGATTGTTCTTAACTATTTTTAACTATTTTTTTTATTAACGTAATTCAGTTATTTGTCTCTTATAATAAGAAACGGAGGGAGTACTAATTATTACAGAAGATATCTTATTTAATTAATTACTTAAAATAACAATTTATTTAAGCATTAACAACTATTAAAAGTATTTATTGATTTTGCTGTAATCAATGAGTGTATTTATTACTATGAAGGTATTAAAACTGGTAAATATATTTAACACTAATTATCATATCCAAATTATTAAATTGTACATATGAGGAGTTAAAAAGTGCACTATCACCAGTAGCGTATTACACCGAGCTATTGGAAAATTCGAAGCGCTGGTCGGAAGTCGGAACCACCTGGTTTGCTGGCTAATCTTGGACGTGTCTGCTGACCACCCAGCTTCACAGAAGGACGGGTGGATCCCACCTGTTTTTGTGCATCCCATGAAACCATAGTCTTCTTCTTCTCCTACCTCGCCCCCTCTCTCTCTCTCTCGGTCTTTCCTGTCAGTTTCATAAAATGTGATTTACGTTTCAGGTTCACTTCACCGGCTTCACATACTCGTCTTGGTCAGACTACAACGGCACTACCATGCGTGTTCAAGCTTCTTTGCTTATTACTGCTTCCTTTCATTTCATCTTATGTCATCCCGCCAACCCGCCAATCTCTCTCCCCATTTTCTGATTTCTACTTCTAATTTTAACAAACGACCATGGAGAGCGCACACACTCTTCCACTCTTTCCGCTCTCCTTCGTCACCTTCTTCATCCTCTGTTTTCTCGCTCTGTTTTCCCATGCTGCCATTTTCAATTCAATCACTCAGGGCCAGTTGATCAGAGACGGCGACACAGTCGTATCAAATGGACTCAATTTCGAGTTGGGTTTCTTCAGTCCCCAAGATTCCCCTGTGCGATACGTCGGGATTTGGTACAGCGTCCCCGGACCGTCGGTGATATGGGTTGCGAACAGAGGAAACCCAATTAAAGACAAGGAAGGGGCTATAACAATTAGCAGAGATGGCAACTTGGTCATCTTGGACGGGCAAAACAACACAGTCTGGTCCAGTAACGTGTCAATCCCAATCCCGAGAAACAAGTCGAAGGCTTTTCTCCGGGACGACGGAAACCTTATTCTTTCGAGTAGCCCTACTAACAGGAAGTTGTGGAAGAGCTTTGAGCATCCAACAGATACATTTCTACCTGGTATGATTGTTCCAGTAAATGAAACAATGGGAGAGGTACGTACTTTTGTGTCTTGGAAATCTGCTGATAATCCTTCACCAGGGAACTACACAATGGGACTCGATCCTCGTGCAGCACTCCAGATAGTGATTTGGGAAGGAAGCAAAAGGAGATGGAGAAGTGGGTATTGGGATGGTAGAATATTCACAGGTGTGTCAAACATGACCAGCAGTTATCTTTATGGTTTTAGACTCAATGTGAATGATGACCAAACCAGGTACTTAACATATAATCCACTGAACAGTTCTGAAAAGGTCAGGTTTCAGATAGGCTGGGATGGGACTGAAAGGGAGCTCATTTGGGATGAAGGCGAGAGAAAGTGGACTACTGTGGAAAGGGAGCCATATAATGATTGTGACCTGTATAACAAGTGTGGGAATTTTGGGGTATGCTGTTTATCCACTTCACCGATCTGTAATTGCTTAAAGGGATTTGAGCCAAAGGATTGGGATCAGTGGCAGAAAGGGAACTGGTCGGGTGGGTGTAAAAGGAGAACCCCACTAAAGAATGAGATCAAAGCTAGTAATGGAACAGACAAAAATGTTAAGGATGATGGATTCTTGATGATTAGGTGTATGAAATTGCCTGATTTTGTAAATTTGGTGGCTGATAGGAACTCTGGCATTGATACTACCAAAGAGAATTGTGAGAATCGCTGTGTTTCGGATAGTAATTGTACTGCTTATGCTTATGTTATTGGGATCGGGTGCATGATTTGGCATGGGGAGTTAGTTGATATTGACCACTTTGGAAAGGGAGGAAACACGTTGTTCATCCGCCTTGCTGCTTCTGAATTAGGTGAAAACTGTCTCTGTTTTAATCCATAGATTGAATTTTTTTTTCCTTTAAACGATTTAAGTTTAACACCTGATTCATGTCTCTTTGCCTCCTTAGTCCTTAGGTTAACGTAAAATAAGCCTACTTTGGCAAAGTAGGCGCAGTGTGGGCAAGGTAGGCCTACTTTACGTTAACTTGGCGAGGACTTCAAAACGCAGAGACAATCCTCACGCGTCAAATTTCGAGAAACTGTTATTACTGTTTCCTCTTCTTCTTTACAACTTCTCTTCTTTTTCTTCTCAGTCTTATACAAAATTTATATTTTTGTTCTTACAACAGAAAGGGAAAATAGCACTTGAGTTATGCCTCATAGTAGCTTATTTCTCGCATGCATTTAGAAATATATCCCCACTACCTTTCAAACTCCAGTATGAGGAAAGCTTTAGTCAGCAAATAATAAGTGCTTGCATTTCTTTTGGTAGTTGAGCTCATCCTATGACTATTTTAATTTCTTCAGCCACGAGTCAATGGCTGAATGTCATATTAAACGAAGATGCTGGAAAGAGTACGCCGCTTTGAATCTTCAAACCATTTCTCACAGTTTATGGTTACAGTGGATGACCGTTATGTCTGTAAATGCAGGCAATAGGAGTAAAAAGACTGAGATAATGATAATAGCATCGGTTGTAGCAGGAGTAATCTGCCTAGGACTGTGCGTGTGGCTAGCATATATATTTCAAAGAAAAAGCAAAGGTAACACGTGTTTCTTCCTGAAGTTTCCTTTTCTTAATCTTTTTTGAACAAGAGAAATCTTGATTGTTTCTTAGTATTAATTATAATTTCCTCAGCTTCAGGAGGCAAGAATGATAATGTACCCATATTTGTTACAAATAAGAGTAGAGATTCTTCAGTAGATGTTTCCGGATCAACTGAGTTTAGTTTGGAAGGGAATCAACTAAGCGGGCCAGAATTACCATTCTTCAATTTCAATTGCATCGCAATAGCCACTAACAATTTCTCAGAAGAGAATAAGCTCGGAGAGGGGGGATTTGGTCCTGTCTACAAGGTAAAAGTGCTCTGCCTTGCCTTGAGGAAGTACAAGGTTGAATGAAAAAACACGAACTCACAGAAATTGTTTATCATTCCATTGCCAGGGAAAGCTTCCAGGGGGAGAAGAAATAGCAGTCAAGAGACTTTCAAGATGTTCAGGCCAAGGATTAGAGGAGTTCAAAAATGAGATGGTGCTGATAGCTAGACTACAACATAGAAATTTGGTGAGACTATGGGGATGTTCCATCCAAGAGGAGGAGAAGTTGCTGGTATATGAATACTTGCCTAACAAAAGCTTGGATTGTTATTTATTCGGTAAGTTTCTTCCTAGCTAACCTTGCCTATATGTTCTTGTTTTCAATTTAATCTTGTTAAGGATGATAAGAATTAACACACTAACCACACATTGTCAGAATGATTGGTTTGTTTTGATGTGCTTCTTACCCTTTCTGATAAAATCATGGCAGACCCAGTTGAGCAGAAAAAATTAGACTGGAAAAAACGATTTGAAATCATTGAAGGCATTGCAAGAGGGATACTTTATTTACACAGAGATTCTAGACTTCGAATCATTCATCGTGATCTAAAAGCAAGTAATATTTTGCTAGATGAAAATATGAATCCGAAAATTTCAGATTTTGGCTTGGCCAGAATATTTGGAGGCAACCAAAACGAAGCCAATACAAATAGAGTAGTTGGCACATAGTAAGCATGCTTTCATTTGGCTTATATGTTCAATTATAAACTTACAATAACCTACACTAATCTCAACATAACATTACATTTTCAGTGGTTATATGGCACCAGAATATGCAATGGAAGGTCTCTTTTCAGTGAAATCTGATGTTTATAGTTTTGGTGTGTTACTACTTGAGATTGTGACTGGCCGTAAGAATACAAGCTTCCGTGATAAAGATGGCCCAAGTCTGATTGGATATGTAAGATTATGCTGCATTTTTTTTTTTCAATACTTGCCTGATACAACCTGCATAATTGCTTTGCTTCACTGTGAATGCTGAATTTTGCATAATGGAATGCGGGTAGGCATGGAGACTCTGGAATGAAGAGAGAGGGATGGAGCTTGTGGACCCCAAAATCCGTGATTCAACACCAAGAAGGAAAGCTTTGAGATGGATACAGATAGGGATGTTGTGTGTGCAGGATTCTGCAGGTCACAGACCAACCATGTCTACTGTGGTTCTGATGTTAGAGAGTGAAACCATGGCTCTTCCATGTCCCAGACAACCTTTGATTTGCTCGAGTTCTGAGGATGAACATGTACATATGGATGGGCCTCTTGATGCGTCCTCAAATGGTTTGACAATTACAGTGGATCTAGTCAGATAGCAGAACTGCATCTTTCTCTTTCCTCTCTTTTTCATTTTTTTTGAGGCTCATTAGTGTGATCACCCTTTAAACACATGATACAGTCACAAGATTAAATCAGTTTTTCGATTTTTATTTTATCTATAGTACAGATGAACATGAGCAGTGTCAGGTGTTAGTTTTGAACTGGGATTGTAAAGATGTAAGATTTAAGATATTTTTAAGATTCAATTGTACATGGGAAGAAAAACATTGGATGGATTTAGAGTTCAACTTGAATTCAACCCATTTAAAGTGTTTGTGTATTGTTAAAATTTAATTATTGTGTATGATATGTTTTTGGTACCAACTTTTTTTTTTTTTAAACCTGTGAGCTGTGAATAACCGCATGAAACTTTGCGACGAGAGAGAAGGCAGCAAGTAGCCGTTGACCGCTGTCCTCCTCTTGGGCCTGGTAAGGATTTGGGCCCAGATATGGTTTTTTTTTCCATTCTCTTGCTAACTTAACCACGGTTCTGGCCCCCAAAAAAATTGTTAATTTTGAAGGGGGAAATTTATCTGCACCCTAAAATATCTCTAATATCCATTAAGAAAAACCTGGCCAAAACAATTCATATAATATTTTTTTAGTATCAATATTAGTAATTAACAATATTTCTCCTTTCATTATGTTTATAAAATAAAAATGTGAAGATTTTTATTGGGTTCATTTCAACACTTCTTGTCGTGCTTATATTCTAAGGCTAAAAGGATGTCTTGATGCCTTTGTTTATAAGGAACCAAGTATCATTGAAGCATCCCTTTTAGGCCACTGGTATCATTCAATCCTCTGACCATATAGAATCAATGAATTTGTTGATGTGTATGGACAAACAAACAGTAAAATTTCGATTAAATTCTTGAAAAACATCTTTGTGTCGGAAGGAAATTAAACTAGAGGAAAAAATTGAAAAAGATACATTGAAAAGGAAAGATTAAAAAAAAACTTGCGCAATATGTGTGTGTGTGAACGATAATTAAAATAATTTTAATAATTTATTTTGAAGATAATGAAGCATGTTATTTCCCAAAGGATCATAATCCATAAATTAATTAAATATCCAAAAGTTAACAGGGGGTCTATCTTAGTGATGAGTGAGAGGGACACTTGATCAACCAAAACTGAAAGAAAAATGAATTCAAATATATGTGTATAACCATAAACATATTTTTTTTTAAAAAATGAAATGTTTGGAAATTAATTCAATGATATGGGAGAGGTGCGAGGCTTATAATTAAGTTTGCTAAGCTCATATTCATGCATTGATTAAGTGATTATATTGGATTGCATGAAAAGATTTGGAGGGTTTTTATTTTGAGGAATGAATGAAAAGACACACAGAAAATCACATTCCATCTTTCCAGTTTGCTTAAGCAGCCCAAAGCTTAATTTGCTGATTCCTTACTCATCAATCTAATCATGTTTAGATTCTAACTGATGTTTTGTTTTTTATTTAGAGAGTGGTTAGTTATTTGATTTTCTGCTTTGCACTCATTATCCCAAAAAAATCATGTTTATCACATGAAAAATATTCAAGTTGCCCTATTTATGTGAATGTGCTGCATCTACATCATTCTATAGTCAACCCATGAAAGGATTGAGATTTGATGAAATGAGATCAATATACTCGGTATATTATGAAAATAACAAACATTAATATCTGGTTGTACAATAATATACACTACCTCAGGTTCTTAATATGAGAGCCAGTAAGGAATTTAACTTTCATCATAAATATAAAATCCCAATTTACTTCACTTCCCATCTTTTTTCAAAATATATTTACTGATTGCAAAGAGTTCTCAGATAAGTCTAGTCATCTAATGTACATGATTGAAAATGATAGTTGTCTAATTCTTATATTAAGGACCAAAGATAGTTGTATCTAATGAGAAAAATATATTAATTTTTGTTCATAAAAATATAATATTTATATTTTGGTCAAAAAAAGTATAATATTCATCATCAATTGCTTTAATCGGCAGAATTTTTTTACATATATTTTTAAAAAATATCAAATAAATATTTATTAAGAATAAAAACTGGAATGTTAATGAAATAATTTCATCCGATTGATCATAAGGTCTCTCTTGAACCCTCTATATATTCACATGGTTTCGATTCACGGTTCATCCTTTGCCACGTGAGCTAAAAAAACATGCTGATCCGTCCAATTGCATTTACAGCTAACGACAGATGATGGCACGTGGAAGGGAAGAATTTTACGAGCACAAGGACATTATGGACTTCTTAACCATCATTCCTGGTGGAATTTTTGCCCATTCCGACGGAGGGAATAAAATCTACTGTAGAGAATGTGATAATGCATACTGTTGAGAACGAAATGGAATGCCATTCTTACTTTCTTACTCCCACATGAAATAACATAATAACTTTTATCCTTTAATATAAAAATTAGTTAACTAATTTGATTAGATTAAAAAAATTTATTGTGTTAGTTATTTATAATAATTAGATATTGTCTTTCTTAAAATATCTCTACTAATCATATTTATTAACTAAAATTACTATTTAATTGAATATTTAACATGTATAATTATCACGATGATTATTTTGAAAGAAATCAATAAATATAAAAGACAAAAAGAATTAGGAGTCTTTATATTTATGATCAAAACAATAATTAAACAAGATCTTATATTAAAGACGGAAAGTATGATAGGCAAAAATATCTTGTCTGGTTTTACCCATCCAAGTTGGCTCTATTTTTAGCATGTAAAGGTACACATACTTATACTGTACTCCTACCCAACGAAAACCTCAAAAACGAAACAAGTTTTATTTGCACCCACTTTTTAGTTATTTCCCCATTGATGCGTTTTTTCAAAAACGAGGCAACTTTATTTTTAAAAAAAAAATTTACATTAAAAGAAGAAAAAATTGAATGTGATCAACCACTGGCCATCGGGCCTAGTGGTATGTGCGTGTGCGTGCGGGTTTGATCCCGTTTCTTGTAACCGGAAAAAAAAAATTGAATGTGATCGCATATTGGTTTGTTTGTATGGAAGTGTCTTTGTGATCCGTTGGAAAGAAAAATAATAATAAGAAGAAGAAAAAAGAGAGTAAAAACTGTTCTTGGTAAACAACATTAAAATATAAACCTCATTTAACATATTATATGACTTGATCTATCCTTCTATTTGAGTCCTGACCCAAGTTAATTATATGATGTAAAGTAATTTTGTGTTGTAAGAGATAAATATACGAGGAAAAAATTTTATCTCACAAGACATAAAATATTTTTTGAGACTTAACGTGAGTAATGATGCCATGGGATTTGTAAAAAATAACAGTCAAAGGTCATATCTGCAGAGGGCTAGCAAATGAATGATATAATTTTTAAAAAAAAGAAAGAAAGAAAGAAAAGAAAGATCAGAGATGATCTTTCTAGAAACCAAACTAGTAATTTGCAACGTTATTGTGATAATCCAGTCAAATTTGCAACGCTTTACCATTTCATCATCAGAGTAAGGAAATGTCAGAGTATACTTCTATTTCTTGTCAGTGTCATTAATTTTTCAGTCTGGAAACATCTATTTCTTCATTAAATATTCAAAATTCAAAAATAAATAGTATATGAGTTGCTTGAAGATTCCACACCGCTATTAAGCATGCTAATGCTTTGTAAATATCGCTATAGAAATATTTATTTTATAACAGTGAAAAAATATTTTAAAAAATTCGTGCTAGTGAGGATGATACATGCCACAATATAATAGAAGTCCAAGCATAAGTTAATATCATTTTTATTCTATAAAATTTGAAACCGGTGACCTTGTTTCAAGAAGAAAACACTACTCCAGGAATTAAGAGTTTTTAAATGAATTATTAGTTTTAAATTTTAGGGATCAAAATCAAAATAAAATCAAACTTGTGGAACTAAAGATAGTAATAACCTTATTTAACTTGTTAAAGGTATTGACTGATTTGGGTATAATATGCAATTGCGAGAGCCTTTTGGACTTGATGAGATGCCTAATCCTCAAGTTGGGGGTTTTTTTCTGGGTCGATTCTAGATGCGTGTAATCGTGCGTGATCAAAAATAGAATATGCAATTGATTGGTATCAATAAAAATTAAGTTTAGATGGCAGAATATTTAATAAGTCTTTCAAATTGACGATCTATCTAAGAAAATATTCCAACTAGTTTCCAACACCTTTTGAATAAAGCAAAAATTATTAAAAGAGTATTTTTAATACATATATATATATGATATTACAAATTTTATTCCACTGCATGCAAGTGTAAAATTTAAAAATTAAAATAATTTTAATAGAGTTATTAGTGAAGTTCAAAAAAAACTCTGCAAGTATTTCAAATAATCTTTGAAAAGCTCGGTAGAAGCATGAAGTTGATATTCCAACTAGTTTCTAACGCCCTTTGAATAAAAAGATTATTTGGATGAAACCAAACCATAGTTTGGAGAATAATTTCTGGATAATAAATTCTGAAAAAAAATATATTTTGTAAAGAAGTGATTATGAGAAGTGAAAGTATTTGGATAGTTGTTATCAGAAACATTTATATATATAAATTATTAAAAAAATATAGTTAATATGATAATTATATAAAAGATAGATTTTATGATATATTTTAATTTTCAGGAATAAAATTGTTAATAATATATTTTTACCACATAATTAATAATACATAGATAATATAATAAATAAATAATTAATATGTGTATATATATTTATAAGATATAAGATTAAATATGTTTATAAAAAAATAATTGAGAAATGTTAAAGTCATATTATTGTTGATATCTACTCTAACAGGCACAATCATGCTCTACAATTTAAACCAGAAGCAGAATAGATTCACTTCTCCTGAAATCATGATTTTGACTCAAACTATGGTTTCAAATTATTTCTTCAAAATTGATGCTGTTTGGGTGATATCCCACCAAAACCATAATTTTGCCTCTCAAACTATGGTTTTGAAGGCACCCAAACAGTTCAAAGCAGCACTTGCTCCAACAATTATATTTCTTGACCTTCCATTTTCACGAATTTTACGAACACAAGGGCATTATGGACTTCTTAACCATCGTTGCTGGTGGAATTTTTGCCCATTCCGTCAGAATTGTGGAGGGAATAAAATCTACTGTAGAGAATGAATAATGCATACTGTTGAGAATGGAATAAACTTTCAAGGAAGCCAACCAAACATGCAATGAAATGGAATGCCATTCTGACTTTCTTTTCTCCCACATAACATAGCACATAACCA